CGGAGCGGGGCTGGTGCCGGCAGTTCCGGGCTGCGCGCACGCGAGGCGGCCGCGGGGAGGGGACCGGGACCGGGACCGGGATCGAGATCGGGGTCGGGATCGGGACCGGGACCGGGACCGGGACCGGGACCGGGACCGGGGCCGGAAGCGCAGTGATGCAGCCGCCGCCGCGCAAGGTGAGCGCGGGGCCTGGGTGGGGCACCGTGGCGGGTCCCGGCACCGGGGACGGGCGATCGGGACCGGGTCCTCCATCGGTGCCGGCGGACCGGGTTCTGCAGCGGGGATCGGGAGTCCCCCCCCGGCGGACCCTCGCCGGGGCTGGTAAAGCGGGGCCGCGGCTGGGCGGTGGCCACCGGCACCTGCAGTGGCACCCGGGGAGGCAGCGGGGACCGGGACCGGGACCGGGACCGGCGGGGGCAGCGCACGGCCCCCGCGTCCCAGCCCGGCCAAGGACGCAGCGGTCCCCGGGCGCTGAGCGGTGCCGTCCCGCAGGTGAAGCTCACCCAGGAGGTGCGGGTCCACCTCCTGGAGCAGCTCTCGGGCCTCCAGGGCAAGCAGCAGCGGGACGCCGAGCTGCTGGAGGACATCAGGTAGGGTCCCCCACGCGTGTCGCGTGTCCCCGCCCCGAGCTGAGACCGGCCAGCTCATCCCACGTGTGGGCCAGGGGCCAGCCTGCCAGGCACGGCTCACCTTGAGCCTGCCGCATCGAGGTCGTGGGCTCCATCACCCGCCAGGCGCCGGGGCAGCCAGATGGGGACATCCCGGTGCGGGGTGGTGGCAAGGGGGTGATGGCCAGGGTGGCCCATCACTGCCCCCCCTGCGTGGGTGCTCGCCTGCCCTGCGTGCCCTCTCCCCACAGGTCCTACAGCAAGCAGAGGGCCACCATCGACAGGGAGTACGGGCAGGTAAGAAGGTGTCACCAGTTTCAGGACTGATGGCCAAGGGAGGCACCAGCACCGAGCCCCATCCTTCCCATCCGTCCCATGCAGAGTGTTCGGTTCCGGGGCAGGGCACGGCCCCACGCAGGCAATGGGAAATTATCTGAGCAAAGCGGAGCTTAGCTGCTCCATGCCGGCCGTGGAGGGCAGTGGCAGATGGGTTCAGGATGGGGGGGACACCAACTGTGTTAGGGCACCCGCTAGGGTGCTTTGCTGAGCACAGCATGGCCCCAACCTCGGGTGTTTTGAGGGCCTGGAGGGAAAACCTTGGGGGGGGGGAGGAAACTGCTCAGCTCCGCTGTCTGCTGGGTCATCGCAGGGCTCTGCTCTTAAATGTCAGAGCCTGGGTTTGCTCCATGAGACATCCCCGCAGCATTCCCTGGGGACACCCTGCAGCAGATATGACCTCCCCGTTCGCCTGTCCCCTGGCCGTGGCCAGGTGCCATGCTACCCCACCCCCTCCCTTACCCCCTCCAGGCTGGGGGGACCGTCCCCCCAGGGTTGGGGTCTTGCTGTGCTTGGCTTTGCTGGGGGCTCCTCTGCCTCTGCCTCTGCAGCTGGTGTCCCTCGCTGGTGTCCCCTTGCCAGTCCTCCATCCCAAAAGCTGCAGTGGGGGTGCCTCTCATGGTGGTGGCTGCTCCCCAAAAAGGGTTTCCCATGGGCAGCGTGATGGGGTCCCTGCTGACACCAAGCCACTGTGGGGTGTGTGTGTCCCCTGCTCCGGGGACACACATGGGGTGGGCAGCCAGTGTGGGGGAGCCCAGTTTTGGCCCTGGAGTGGGATGGCAGGGTGCTCGGGTACCTGGCAGGGTTGGGGAGTGCTGGTGACAATGGGTCTGTCTTCAGGCGTTGCAGAGGCTGGCGAGCCAGTTTGTGAAGAGAGACTGGCAGCGGGGCCGCAGTGAGGCTGGCAACACAAGGTGGGTTGGGGACAGGGATGGGGGTGAGGGGCTGGGGCTGGCTGCATCCATCTGTGGCCCTCCCAGTTGGGAGATGCCTAATGCCAATCAGGATTTGGGGGTCCTGGGGATGC